GAGTTTATGGCGTTGACATATCTATCACGAGTAGTTACAGCACTGCCTTTGGCGGTGTTGGCAAGCTTACTCCTGAGCAAGTGTGGCGAGCATCGATCCGTTGAGGGTTGTCCCTCCTATCATCTTAGGCTTCAACGATGAGTACACCTATTGACCAGTCTAAGTCCACTGAATGTACGTGAGTCTTACCTTCTGAACGAATGCATCAACCTGCTGCTGGAATTGAGGCCTCAATGCTTGATACGGCAGCTTCTGGATGTTCCTCAAGTCCGCCCTGATATAATAAGCCATCCCCATGAATATACAGTGTCAATGATAATGACTACTCATTTTCCACTGGCCTAACCATCACTGAACAGCTCCTATCCCTGAACATAGCCTTGATGCAATCACGTATTTTATTCTTCTGTTCGATCCCTTCACTACGACCTGCTACTGGCCTCAGAGCATGCTCGAGATACCTTGGCTAGAAGCATCATTGACAGCAGATAGCCCTCATCCGTCACTCTTTAGGTGATATTGGTTGCCCCGTTTCGTTGACTAGCTTCAGGTTGAAGTCCCTTAGAACCCACAGTAAAGGTGGGAAGTGAGCGGCAAGGTCAGCTGAGTCCTTGGACAAATCTGGGTTGCTCTTGGATGAGGATCGAACATGAATGTGCTTTGTGAGATGAAGTACCTATCCCACGGCATTACCGGATACTCTTAAGCCAGAGTACTCACCAGATTGAGTTGGTCGAGACTCTCCTCGTTAATCGCACCCATACTGTTGTACACGAAGAAGGAGCAAAGCAGCAGGCACAATGAGAATATCTGCATATCGCAGCTTGTTGTTCGGACACAGCTACCAAGACCCTCAGTATCGATAAGAATAGCATGAAAGTTTTGCCCTAGTTGGACCTGAGTCATTGTGTATTCCCGGTAAGGCGGTGGCAAGGGATACTACCGGTTGGCCCACATCCATATACCACGAGTGCAGGGGTTCACACTAAGGCCTATCTCGAATCCATCCCTGTAGCCAGGAGACGGGTTCATGAGAAACTCTTGCCCGTACGGTACAGACCAGCAATACCATTTACAGCGACCTGATGTA